TTAATTTATTTATTTAAATAAAAGTATATAGACAATTGTGCGTTTTTAATCATAAAATTTTAAATTAAACACTTTTTAGGTTAATTTGTTAAATATAAACCGGTCTTCAACAAATTTTTTACACATATAATAAACTTCTGAAAAACGAGTTTTCTTATATTTTTGGATATATTTCGAACAGATTAATCTAAAAATATAAGCAAAACACGAGTTAAAAAAATATATGTATAGTAAGTACATATTCAGGAAATTAATATGTTGTTGCAAACCTAGATTTTTACCAATATCTTATGATCCGGTTTGTTCAGTTCTAAGCAGATTTTTACTTAAAAACGTAATCCGTATGTTGAAATTATAAAGAAAATAAACTTGTTCAACATACAATGTATATGTTTCGGAGCGGAAAATATTCCGAGCTGCGGCAGAGCGGACAAAATATATTACTGTATATGTCTCCATGAAATGATGAAATGCTTTAAAATAAAAATTCAAACATGCAATAAAATATATTTGTAATATGTATACAAAATGTTAAATTATTTTGAAATTTGTATGTATATAGGACATACATATGTATTTAATTTATGAAAATGTAAATTTCTGTTGGAAAAATCAGCGAAATTTGTCCAAAAAATTTTAAATTACGATATTCTCTTCCAAAATCCAGCGAATTACTCGGAATCCATTTTTATTTATCGTTTAAAATTTCAACTGAAAACTTAGCCGGCTTGCAAGCGATTTTGAGCCGTTGCCGTAATGTGTTTAACGACGGTCTCTGATGGTGTGGTGAGATTTGTCGAGTGTTTGTTTTTCTCTTTTTCAACATTTATTTGTGATTCATTTTTAATGCACAATTTCTTTTTATTTCGTTTAAAACACAAAGTTTGCTGAAATATACGGGGAACAAATACACGGAAATATAATTCGCTAGATATTAGCTATAGTCTATAGTGTAAAATTACAAACAATTTAATTATAGAAGTGTTAATTAGTAGAGCAGAAGCAGAAAAATCCATAAGAGCACCTCCCTAGCAATTTTTCTTTTGTTGTTTTTTATTTTTGCTTTTTTGTGTTTATTGCAATTTTCTTTGCTAATCGTAGATATTTTTCCGAGAATTCCATTGTATTAGTGCGGAAATATTTAGGACAAAAGTATGTCTTCGTTATCAGCATCGGCTGAAAATGTTTCCACAGGAACGGGCGGTGGTGGCGGTTCAGCAGCCGGAGGTGTTGGCAGTGGCGATGCAAATGCCCAAGACGGTGCTGGCTCCAGCATGTGCTTGGAATTGGCCCTGGAAGGCGAACGTTTATGCAAGGCAGGTGATTGTCGGTCAGGTGTGGCATTTTTTCTTGCAGCCATTAGAGCAACAACCGATGACCTTCGTACCTTGAGTGCAATCTATTCACAATTGGGCAACGCCTACTTTTATTTGGGCGACTACTCGAAGGCCATGCAGTATCATAAATTGGATTTGACATTGGCACGTTCCATGAACGACAAGCTGGGGGAAGCGAAGTCGTCGGGCAATCTGGGTAATACATTTAAGGTAATGGGTCACTTTGACGACGCTGTCATTTGTTGTGACCGCCACTTAACGTTGGCCAGACAACTAGGCGACAAGCTGTCTGAGGGTAGAGCTCTCTACAATCTTGGCAATGTTTATCATGCCAAAGGTAAACATTTGGGTCAGCGTAATCCCGGAGATTTTGGTGATGATGTCAAAGAAGCTTTAACCAAGGCGGTGGAATATTATCAGGAAAATTTAAAGTTAATGCGTGAACTTGGAGATCGTGGAGCTCAAGGCAGAGCTTGTGGCAATTTGGGAAATACTTATTATTTGTTGGGTAGGTAGAAACAAATGATTAACTTGAAAGCCTTTTATTTACAACAATATTTCTTCGCAACAGGTGATTTTCAGGCTGCCATAGAACATCATCAAGAACGTTTGCGCATTGCTCGAGAGTTCGGTGACAAAGCTGCCGAACGTAGAGCCAATAGCAATTTGGGCAATTCTCACATATTCTTGGGACAATTCGAAGAAGCCGCAGACCATTACAAACGCACTTTAGCTTTGGCCATTGAACTGGGAGAACGAGAGGTAGAGGCCCAATCCTGCTACAGTTTAGGCAATACATACACGCTTTTGCGCGAGTTCGAAACGGCCATAGAATATCATAAACGGCATTCCGACATAGCTCAGGAATTAGGCGATCGTGTGGGCGAAGCACGTGCATGTTGGTCTTTGGGTAATGCCTATTCGGCCATAGGAAATCATAAGAAAGCTTTGTTTTACGCTGAAACTCATTTACAATTGGCCAAAGAATTGCACGATCCGGTGGGTGAAAGTACAGCCCGTGTGAATATTAGTGATTTACGCAAATTACTTGGACTGCCAGAAGGGGCACCCTCACCAGTTGAAGGGGATGAACGCTCAAGTAATACCGATCTATCGCAAGACAGTGATGCCCAGAATGCTGACTCAGATAACTCGCAAGGAAGAATGGTAAGAGTGATAAATTATTTTCAAAGGATGTTAAAAGTTAATCAATTATTTTGTTCTTTAGATACGTGTCCGCCGCCAAAGTATGGAACAACTGGATTTGATTAAAATCACACCTGATGGTAAACGCGCTCCAAAGCAAGAAACCAAAGTACGTCCAATAAAAGCTCAAGATGATGATTTCTTTGAACTACTGTCCAGATCGCAATCCAAACGCATGGACGATCAACGTTGTTCGATAAAAATCAATAAAGGTCCAACAAATGCTTCTGGCGCTGTTGGGGCCACTGGAGCTACACGCAAACCTCTACAGCAACACAACTCTTTACAAACAAATTCAGGTTTTCCAACAAATGCAACATCCACAACAAATGGTGCCAATTGCCTTCCCGGTCTTAAAGCCGCTGGTGGTGCAACAAATGCCAGCAGTGCCAAAAGCTCTGCAACTTCAGGAAATGCAGCTCATCCTCCACTCACACGTAGTGCAACAACTATGGAACAAGTTGATGATGCTTTCCTGGACATGTTAATGCGTTGCCAAAGTTCACGGCTCGAAGAGCAACGTTCCGAATTGCCCCGACCAAATGTACTCATTGATGCTGAAACTCAAAATCGCAATAGACCAAGTGGTGGCCGTGGCACAACCGTACCCGATGAAGATTTCTTTTCGCTCATTATGAAGGTACAAAGTGGACGTATGGAAGATCAAAGGGCAGCTATACCCATAACACGACGTGATGCTTCTGGCAGCTCCAACAGCAACAACAACAATACAAATAACAACCAGAGTAACAAGTAATAATTTAACTAGATTTATGTACTAATCCAAAAAATCAAGTAACAAAAACTCTCTTTTTAACTCTCCATTACCATTTCGTTCAAGTGATTCCATTTTATATTAAATTATACATACATACGAACTCACTGTCTATGTAGGTATAGAAACGTGTATTCTTTTTCGTACATTCTTTGTTTAAAAAGCTTTTACTTTTTTCTTTTACAAATATATTTATACTTTTTTATAACAAAAGAATATTAACATTTATTTATTTTATATAAAATTTATAGTTATATACTTACACTACACTCGTATATAAAATATATTTAATAATATAAACCTACAAACATACATTATATACTTATATTATTATACTGATATTTATAAATTCAACTGCACTTGTTACCCATTCCCATTTTACTTTACTCTTTGTCTACTAATTTTTTCCTTCAATCATTTTACATTTTACAAATATTTATACCTTTTTAGAATTTATATACACTTTTAAAAGAAATTTACAACTTTTTCAAAATATGAAAACTGAAAAGATATGAATCAAACTCAATTTGAAATATCACACAAAAAATGGTTTATTTTCTAATTACATAATAGCAAATAATAACAACAACTACAACAACATGATTTTTATCTACTAATAAAGAATATAAAACAAAATAAAGTATAGTTACTTATTTTAAGTCAGCTCTAAACAAAAAACATATTTCAATAGTTGTTTTACTTATGCATCAGGTTGGAGAAAAGCCAGGGAAGTTTTAACTTGTTTTTATATATAATTTGTAGGCGGCCATAGAACATCATCAGAAAATTTTTGCAAGTCCAGTAAAAAATCATATTAATGGATCAAGTTTAAGAAACTGCATATTAAAAGAGATTCTAAAATATGCCCAGCAGTACCTGGGGACAGTACCTAAGGTCCCCACTAGTCACCAGACGAGCTAGACGACTGGTTATTTTAACAAAGGCATGTACTAGGAGGAAGTCAATTAAATATTTCGAGAAAGTAACACACATCACTTCGACTACAAATGGACAGTTAACACAAAAACAAGTTTCAAATGCCCCCTCTCTCGTTTACCTAGGTACAGTTAATTGACGACACTCTTCGATCTGGAAAACTAAAAGTTCATTGGACACGAAAAACCCAATATATGTATACAAATAAATATCAACCAAGTGGTCAGACATTAGTAGAAATGACTGACTTTTACGGTTGCATGGACTCTTCGTTGAACTACTGATACATATATTTTCACCTAAAAAATTACAGTTTGAGAGATGCAATTGGATGTTTGGCCTACGCGCGGAAGAAACCTGTTATATCATCATCACTATACAGATTCATAAGGTTTCCTAAAACTTTGATCCGATCGTTGGTTTCTCGATAGTTTCTTCTCTCTATATGTATGTACATATGTATTTCAGATTTTTTTCCTAATGATTTCTTTGTTTTATACCAAAATTATGCAATTTTCTTCATCTTAAATAAACAATTATATTCACAATTTTTTTTTCAAAATTTTGCGTCGTAGGTCTATTAAATCCAATTAATGCACACCAAAAATAAATTCATTAATAATGACGTTATAATTTCAGTTCCACCCAAACATTTATACGAAAACGATTTCCTTTTAATTCATTCAATATTCCCTCAAATTGGTCTTTTATAAATGAAATCAAAAGTTCGCAATGCTGTGTTTTTAATTTTCGTAAAATTTATTATTTAATAAACAAAAAAAATAAAATAGAAAAAATATACACTTACATAACTAAATAAAGCAATGAATATAATTTATTTATAAATAATTCAAGAGCAAAAAATTTTAAATACAAATATAAACAAATACAAATTTTTAGCACTTTTCAATATAAAAAAAAAATTTAAATTAAATACTCGTATAATGAAATGGGGAAAATTGTATAAAATACTAGACTATGAATAAAGTATAATTGTGTGTCTATCTATTTATTATGATGCTGTAGAATAAACAAAACAAAAATCTATAAATTGTTATACAAAATATTGTATACCATTGAAAACGTTCAATATTTATAGTCAAAGTATAATTTTATAGTTATAAATAAAATGTACGGATAAATACTTGTGTATTTTTTGTTCATTATTTGTTTTTAAAGATAAATAAATTAAAAAATACACTTGTTTATTTGTTTATGAAATACCAAAAAATATAAAAAATGAATTAATGGAATGATGTATTATTTACAGTTAAAGTTTATAATTAATTGGTATAATTTTTTAATCTATAAAAAATTAGCTGCACAGCTTAAATCTATAACAAAAATAATATTAGAGTAAAAACAAATTTCACTAGACCTTAGACAAACGATGTTATATAAGTAGGGATATTCATAGTTTTATGTTAAATGAAAAAGGCTACAATAACAATATTGTAATCCACATTTTGCAAAATTTCTGACAAATTATGAAAAAAATCCCCTGTTAAAATTTCACCGATTGCAGCCTTGCTCCTGAAAGCTTTAAATATTTAACACTTTTCCGACTTTTTGTTCTCATAAGGCGGTCGAATACTTTCTAAATCATGTTCGGGACTTAACACAAAAATGGGCGAAGCAAAATCACTATCATTGTTTAAACTATTCTTACGCGATTGGTAGGGAGGTGGTGAGGATGATAGATAAGGATTTGTCATGCCCTTTTCCTTGCCCCGTTTTAACATGATATACACCACAAAAATACAAATCAAAAGAGCAGTACTGCTGGCTGTTATAAATAGTACCAGTTGTATAGTGCCCTCATGTGAGGTTATAACTTTGGCATAAGTGGGTAATTCTTCGCGGCGATGTATGAACTGGACACGTGTTATATCCGTGGAATAGTGGCCATTGGCCAATTTGAAATCACCACTCATTATAGATGTTTCTATGGCGAAGGCCATATCAATTTTATCATCATTATGCAGTTCGAAACGTATCAGAGCAGAACCGTCGCCATTTTCTTGTACTCTTAAATTTTCCACATTGCGTCCCAAAAGTTGATTAAGCTCCAGACGTATGATATCGTAGACATTATTTATAGAGGTTTCGGAATTATTTTGCATGTGCATTTCTACTATAACCGATGAAATGGGCGTGGGTGTACAGTTGTATTGACCCTTCTCAAACATGGGCGAAGTTTCTAGCTGATTACCAGCAGAGTCTACACACCAACAATGTTTTTTATTACACTGCATGGGACTAAAGGCTCCACTGCTGTCACAGGAAATGGGAAAGGGAGCAGTTTGGGCTAAAGAACGACATCTGGTGGTTTTTAAATGTATGGATTTCACCGATTCCACTTGCAACTTGGAATCCCATAAAGAGTTAGCCAGCTCCAAGACACGTTCGGTTACGGTGGGTGGCACTGTGGTGGTAGTGCTTACTGTCATAGGTTCCAAATCAACCTCAGTTTTTATATGTCTAGCTTGCACTTCATTAGAATCTTCTACCTCCTCCTCCAGAAAGTTATCCAAGTCTGTTAAAACCGTCATTTGTCTGATAAGTTCTTCCATAACCAATAAATCACTAGTATCCTGGGGTTTGTATTTACGCCCTTGTCTACTATTGCAGACAGGTTCTATATCTCTTGTTAAAGTACCTTTTAAGGGAGCTCCCTTTTTATCGGCGCACCAGCATACACCATAAGGTGAAGGTGTCTGATCTAGAGAACCGGTAACCGAGTTTAAATCTGGCTGTTTACCCAAACATTGCACCGGGCTCCAGTGTCCTGTTACAGGGTCACATCTAGGCTTAAACCATACCGACGAATGGCCAGTTCTTTGAGCCGCCAAAGTGTTTTTCAATTTTAATCTTTCACATTGTGTCAGAGCGGGACATACCGAATTACAGGATAATTCATTGTGGAAAAGATTTTTAGTCTGACAACTACTTTCGTTTAAGTCAATGACAACCGGCACGCAGCGATTGGCTTTGGGATTAAAACGATAGCGTGTGGCATTGGCTACAGAAACTGTTTTTGCTAGGCAGCTATTATCCATGGATTCAAAGCAAACATCTCCTGAGAAAAAAAGAGAAACATCATTATCGGTATTCATACTTACATAGTAAACATAAATATCTGCAGACATGGACAAATTAAATAAATTAAAGTAGTAGTAACTGGTCTCGTAACTAGTGTATTGACTAGCCAATTGATTGGCACATTGACCTGTATGTGGACTAATCGATTGACTACTCTATTGATTATTCTAAAGACTAATATATTGAGTATTCAACAGTCTAGTAATAGACTAGTCTATGGACTACTCGATTTAATAGTAATAGTTACTCCATTTACTAGTTATGGAAATAGACCAGTTAATTGAATATTTTAACGACTAGTCGAACTACTGCGGCTTTTTTCATTGCAGTACTGAATTTCCCTCCTATTTTATTTAAATAATGTCTTCAAAACTTACTGGTCTTTGTACAGCATACCCCGCGATGTGTTACCGGATTCAGCTGACATGTGTGCGAGGAGGGACATGTCTCGTTCTCGTTTTGGGGTCCACAGCTTACCACCAAATCACCTTGTTTTAAAGGACTTCCTTCGGGACACAATGACTCACGTTTCGGCACACAAATGGGCATCTTAGGGCAAGGCGCATCTACACAGTCTATATTGATCAATTGACATTCTTCGGTTGCTGCACAATTTATTTCTGCACAAAAATCTCGGCACTCACAAGTTTGGCAACCATTTGTATCTACCTGATAGCCTGCCTCACAACTGCGGGAACAATTTTTCTTTTCACATTTAAACGCGGAATTTTCTTCGCATATTGGATCGGTGCCTTTTAAACGAGTACCACTCATTTCCTGGCCTTGTTCATCAACACACCAACATTCACCAGTGGTGGAAGAACATTGGATTTTATTCCACTCTCCGGTAACAGGGTCACATTGAGCAATGTTCATTTTCATTACGGGTATACCTAACTCGGAGGACTGATGCATTTGTATGGCCTGTAAATGTTGACAGGCGGTTTTCATTTGCGGCAAAACACACTGGGTACCACAACCATTGGAGCAACAACGTTTGGCGCCATCGCAGTGGGAATCGGTGCGGCATTCATAAGCACAAGCATTGGCATCTAGGTTATCGGGACCTGGTGGCACTAGATAAGGACATTGGCCGGGTTTTCGCGCTAAACAGGCCGGCACCGGGGGACAATATTCATCATCACATGATACCTCCACAATACGACATTCCTCATTCTCCCCACACACCACATCTTGGCAGGGATCACGACATTGGCAAGCCGGACAGCGGGTGACGGGATCTAAAGTAAAACCATATTCACAACCCATGCGACAAGTAAGATCTAGACAATCAATTTCTTCACGCAACTTTACACAGGATTCATCGGTGACATTAAATCCTCGCGAGTGTGGTATTTCAGTGCCAAAGCTATCCACACACCAGCACTCTTCCACATCCAATTCGACTATTTCTTCATCATTTAGGGGTTTCTTGGGTGCGGGAACCACCTTCTTAAAGTCTGTTTCAAATAATTGTCCCAAACTTTGTTGCTTACTAGCACCCATATCTATAACCTTGGCATTACGACCCATCACAGGAGCGGCCAACTGAACCTTAAGTAAACTATCATCGACTCGATACAGTTTTAGACGTTCGGCATCACGTTTCGTACGTTTTGCAGCATTATTGGCCAATAACATGCGCATGCGTCGGATGGTATTTTCCTCCAAAATTTTGCGATGCTCAGCTCTAGTTACTTTGATTTTACGGAAACTACATTGACGCTCCTTATAATTGCCCTCATCGGTGCAACGGGGTTCAGGCAAAGCCAACTTCATGCCTTCTTCGGTACCCTCCATGCGTTCCGAAAAGTCACGTATATATTCACACACTAAAATGGAAGAACAACAACAATAAATTAATTTGTTTTTAAGTCATTGAAAAATGTGAAATGAAAGCGCTTGAACAAGTTGGATCTAATTTCCAAGACTTGAGCACACATATCGTCCGAAATATTAAACAAGTTAAAGAAGTTAAATCGTAAATCGTTCTTAATGAAACCCCCTTTAGCTTCAAAACTTACTCGTTTGTTGACGTGGTTCTACTGGTTTAGTTTCTTCTGCAATTTTAATGGGACAGCAAACACTTTCCGATTCCTTATGTAATTTCGTACATTTATAATCGTTCGGGCAAATAATACGATTTGATAAGGCACGAGAAGATTTTACTTCAGGTTCAGCATCAAAGAATGATTTGATTTCACGGCCATAGCTTTGACGTTCTAGGGGAAAATAGGAATAACTTGACATTTTAAAATATTAATGTTTTTATCCGTTTACTTACCATTATAACAATACATTATTTCATTGGTGGTATTGTCGGATAGGGGAGTTCCCACTTCACATGGATTTGAGTAGGCCATGGAGGGTTTGCATACCGGCCAAGAAGCACACAAAGAAGAACCTGATTTGCACAAAGGATCTGTGGCTACTTCACACTGGGAACCAACGGGACATAAGAAACCCTCGCAAGGCTCGGCACACTCACAAGTAGGACAATTATTGTGGTCATTCTGTGGAACGAAAGAAAAATAACATTATTTTGCTATTATAGAAATCTAAGAAAAGGTTTTATATAAAAAATTCTTACCTTAAAACCATATTCACATACAGCTGCACAAATATTGGTATCACATTTCTCTTGGTTAAAACTACGGCCCATTAACGATCTACTAATCATATTCTCCCAACCCTCACAGTTCACCATATTAGCGGCACCCATGCTGCCGGCAATTTTATGTCCCGTTCTGGGATCTACACACCAACATACTAAACCATTACGAGAACATTGTTTGGGTGAAAACATGCCACTGGGACCACTGCAATCTGGCACATAGCCACGACCTTCTCTTTCGTTTATGGCCAAAATGTCGGATAAAGCACGGGCCTGTTGACAGGTGGTTACATTGTGCGGTTGTTGGCAATTGTATTGACAGCCTTTGGTGAAACAACATTTTTCCATATTACGACATTCCAGATCGTGGGTACAGGGTGTACCGCACATATAACCCGTGCTGGGTGTATAATTTTCCATTTCAGGTGCTGGACAAATACCAGGCTTATTGAATTTCAAAGCACTGGGACAGCAAACACCATAATCATTGCCACCTTCTACCATACACTGATACAGAGGAGGACACTGTGGCTTACCGGGTTCCAAGCCACACAAGAAAGGTCTCATATTACTGCCATCTTCAATAGCCAATGGCATACCGGCAGGACAGAAATTAGACAAGGATCTTGCTTTCTTGCAGGTTGGCACTGGTGGACAAGGTTCTGTCTTACAATTAACCTCCATCAATTGACACGATTGACCATTGGGACAGTTGATGCCATCACAGGGATCACGACAACGACATTGACTGCACCCAGTTTGTGGATCACGTGCAAAACCCGACGGACAAAACATGCGACAAGCTGATGCTGGACAATTAGCGGGTTCTTTGCACTGAACCGCGGCTTTTGTAGCATTACGAGTACCGGGTATTTCCACGCCATACTCATCCACACACCAACAATCCTCTCCGCGTCTGGCATTCGTACACTGTATAGTTTCGAATTGTCCACGTTTATCACATCTCGGCGCTCGAACTCTTGTGTTTAGTGCTTTGGAACGTCTGGCCTCAGCACGTCGTAAATGTTGACATGCTGTTAGATTTGCTGAAATTTCAAGATATTTATATTATTATAAAAGATTTCTTGTGGAATTTTAGTATTGAGACATCTTCGAAATTTCGAAGGCTTGTGATTGTTTGTGCAAAATGATATTTTTAGTATAGAACTGCTTCTGAATTTCGAAAATAGACTCTATCTATGTATGGACTTATTCCTTATGAATCGATTCTTTCGAAAACTATATATCGATAAAAGACCTTTTGTAGGGGCTTGAGTCAATAAGGGAATTTTTCTGAAAGTATGAGTGGTAAGAGTATGGGCTATAGTAAGGCTAATATCAAACCTAATATCTATAGCCTGTAGAAGACTGGGTATGGTCTATATTAAATTGTCTGGAGTATAGACTAGTGTATAGTCTGAAGTATATACTAATAGACTAGTCTATAGTATAGAGTATAGACTACTCTCTAGTACGGAGTATGAGCCAGTTTATAGTCTGGAGTATAAACGCGTTGACCAACAACAATTTAAAAAATTTTTTTTGCAAAACTCTTAAAATTGTTACAAATTTCACTTACAAGGTCGCAGATGACAAGCATATTTTTCCTGGAATTTAGTTAAAACCATTTATAACCAAACTTTTAATGGATTTATTTTATTTGTGGTACCAAATAAAACAGCTTGTGAATTAAAAATGCAAATAACAACAACAGAGTAAATAAAAGCGAAAGTTTAACCACAGATATACAAACATATAGATAAATGAATGAATGGACAACTAAACTAATAGAAAAAATACAAAAATTTCAATAAAAAAGAGCAAAAGATAATAACAAAAAATGTTTTATTCATGTTTAACATACGCATAATGACTAAATTATAAATCCAGTTTTGTTAAACACCGTTAATGATTTCAAAATTATGATGTAATAATAAACATAAACAAGCTCTACAGTTGCTTGAGAAAAAAAATACATAATAAATAATTATTCTATGGGGAAAGAGGTAGAAGTAAATAATTGTAAAATTGAAAAGTGAAATGGAAATTCTAAATGGTATTAAATGTTAACCATTTTAGAATTTCAACAACAATTTATAGAAATAGAAAGCGTTTATGTTAGATTTATAGACACAAGCATAGAAATTTTATTAAATCAAAAACAATTATGGTTACTATAAAAAAGCAAAAACACAAAGATACTCAAGCACTAGACTTTAAGGCGATGTGGAAACAGTGGTTTTAACTTTATTAAAAAAAAAATAAACAAATTTTAAACTCATGATGTTATGTGTATTAAATTAATAGAAAAATAGTTAGATTTTAATAGAATTTGTCTTTTCGTTTATAATAAATATAAATACTTAACGTAGACCCACAAAACTGGGTCTTTATTAGGTTCTAAGACGATTTAGTCATTTCTGTTTTCTATTCTGTTGTTATTCACACCACTGTACTGTGAATACTTGTTCTTTCACCGTGTTTGTCTCTTAAGTCTTTTGTTTGTAGTTTGTTGTTTATGCGAGAGTGATTGTGTATTTGTATGAGAATAGATAGATGATGTTCATTGAATGAAAATGAAACTTTTGTTGTAGTTTTTTTTTTTTGCACCCATAGATATATAACTTACAATATACATAGTCATTATTATTTTACTCTTATTGTTGTTGTTGTTGTAACTAAATAGTAAACGTGAGTAGTAAATAAATTCTACTGACACAGTTTCTGTTATTCATGTGTTTGCTGTGGTTAATGTTTTTTTTGAGTTTGTTTGTACTTAACTTTTTTCATAACATATACATACATATATAGACTGATCTGCTAACATGTTGTCATCATACATGCTACACGTCCAACATGTTGTTTACAACAAAATGTTAATGATCACCATTATCCACCAACAAATAAAGTCAGTTTTTGGTCTTTATTTTACTTTATTTGGTTGTTGTCTTTTTTTCCTTTAAATAAGCTTAAATTGCAAAACTGTTTCTTCTTTTGAAAACTAACCCACAATCACACACTAAAGAAAAGAGAAAAATACCTTTGAAGAAGCAGAAAAAAACAATAAACTTTTAACGAGGAAATAGTACAAATTTCGGTGTTTTAGTTTTATTTTGTGGTAGTACTGTTATTTATACAATTTAAACGTTATGGTTTTGTTCAAATTGCCCTAGTTTAAATATAAAAAAATCGTAAAAAGTTAAATTAAAAAACACACACAAAATACATACTAATATATAATTACACCTTAAAGTTATATATCTACTTACATATGTATGTATGTACATGTGTAAGTGTAGTTTATTTTACTTTCCTCTTTTTTATAGTAAATTGTGTGGCTTATTCAAAAAGTAAATAAAAAAGTGACCATAAAATTTATTTTATATTTGGTACGTTGGCGAAATCGTATCGAATGGAAATTGAATTGACAAAGTGTTTTTTTTTTTTTTTTTTTTGATTTTTTTCAAATATTTCGCATTGCGTTTATGTAATGCACCTTCGAAGTCATTGACTTTTTTATTTACAGTTTTGTCTTATGCTGCCAAAAGTATAAGACATGCATGTTGCTAAGATGCACTGTGGGTCAATAAAAATATGAAGTTTTCCAAAGAGAACTTTTATTAGGGCTTGGGTCAATTATGAACTGAACACTTTAAAATTTAAGAGAGTGATACATTTTTTAGAACTAATTTTTGTCGAATTTTATCCTAATACCATAATAACTCAGGCTGACTAATGCCGAAATCCTGAGACCATGCTATACTTTTCTAAAGCCATATCAAAAGTCTATTCCATCAACTTTAATAAAAAGGCCTAACATATGACAAATCTTCTTTGTTCTTCGAGATATCTTCAACTAAAGCTTGCAAACTCATGTTTTTCGGTATATTCATGGTATGTATACCCTACATTACTATAGTGCGGAGGGTATTATGTTTTGTAAATATTGTTTATAACAAACAGAAATATTGAATCCACCTGAGGATTCCAATTTATAATGTCTGTCCGTCCGTCAACTTACAACAAGTATCAAGTTTTAGGTGAAGATTTCTTAAATAAACAAGAAGATATGTCAGATGTTAAGCATTTATTTTAAAGCTGTCAGATGGCATAGTATCCTTTGGTCTCTGGGTTACAAATTTGTCGGCATGTGTTATTAAGCATTTTATTGACAATAAATTGATTTTCTGTAAGAGGGTGTGAGTGTAAGAGAAATGGATCAGTTATGGAATGATCCTCCCAAAATTTTGCTGCAGTTTTTTATTTTTTTAAAACATATTTATGTCGACTACAGCTTATGTATAATCAACTTATTTGTGTCTGTTTAAACTATATTCCGAGGTCCATTTCTATAAAGGTTATGTAAAATCGTGGAACGTATTTCTTATTATCAATACCAATGTAATCAATAGTTGGTAAATCTTTACAGATATTTTCGATTTAAATTTTAAAATTAACCAAATTTTCTATAAAATTATCCATTGTTCCAATGTATTAATGTTATTTTTTATATAAATACACACATACATATGTATGTATATGGTTATTGCATTGTTTAAATATAGAGGGTCATACATACATATGTACGTATGCATGTAACTATGTTATACACTTAAATCATTTCGTTACTCACCATGTGAACGTCCTGCCTCCGATGCAACCAGTAAACATGCAAAAACCAGAGCACCAAAAGAAAACAACTTTAACCATCGTTTATCATCATATCGAGCCATATTTATACGCATGAGATTTTAAAACAAACACCATCAAACAATAACAATAACAACAATGAAAAAACTCCAAACTTTAAGGTTAATGTTATGTTATCTTATGCTTTTATGTATTTTCCGTTTGTTTTATGCAAACAATTGCTTTATTTATTATTTAATGTTGTTGTTGTGGCAGTATCTTCCTTTTCCTCCTTTATTTACTTATAATAAGATGGTTCTTCTTTTCCTTATTATATTAACTGTATGTGTGAATATTAAAAAGTTTTATTTACAGTTTTAAAATATGAACTCTCTTTTAGTTCTGCTTACGGGTTCAACCATAACAAACATGAAAAGAAAACAAAGAAAAAAATTACAGTTAATTTAATATTTAAACAAGTATGTACTTACAAAAAAAAAACTTAAAAAAACTAACAAAAACTATAAATTTTATGCTCTGTTCGTGTGTAATTTATTTTTAAATATTGCGTAAAATGTAACTTGTTTTTTTCTTAACACTTCATGATTAATAACAATATGATGCTATTTTAAACAGATTTTTTTATTGCAATAATATAATCTTTATTTATATTTGTTTAGTTACTTAATATTCCCTGGTATTTTTTTTTAATTTCCAAAAAAATGTTAAACTAGTCGACCTTCAAGTAAATGCCAACTGCTTATTTTTAAGCCGTTAATTGAAAATTAAGTCTTTTAATTGAATTTAAATTAAACATTTTTAAAGTGTATTTGTAAGAATAAGTCATGTGTAAGTTTCATTTAAAGTGTTTATGTACAATATGTGCTTGATATTTATGGTAATACAAGGTATTTGAGTTGTAGGAGGGAGGTCTTATTTTAAATAAAAGAAAACACAAAGTATACCCACATAACTTATAAGATTAACGCAATAAATATTTGCAATTTTTTAGATTTTATTAACTAAACAAAAACTATGTATATTACTTAACCAATTTCATTAGTTTATTTAAATTAACATTTTTATTTCGCCTCTAAGTTAACGTTTGCAATTTATCCCAAAGGAAGAGGGAGAGTGTGTTAGAAATAACGAAGACTTTTATAGAGTGAAACAGAGATGGAAACTTCAGTACTATTGTACTTAATTCAGTAGTTTTGACAATGAGTCAAATTTCTATATTAAAAACTTTTGCCAATTAATATAATATAAGTAATTGAGTAATTATTGTAGACAATAGACCAGCTACTAAACTACTAAGAAGAATAGTCAATTGATCATGAAGTAGAATACTCCACAGATTAATACTATCCAATCTACTTAATAGACTAATCAGCTGTTTTGTCAGTAGACTACACCTTAGACTAACCAATACACAATAGACTTGTCCATAGACTATTCATCCGTCCATAGACTTGTCAATAAATTTGTACATAAACTAGTCAATAGACATGCCCATAGAATAGTCAATACTCTAGTCCTTAGACTAGTCAATAGTCTATTTGTTAGTCAAGAGTCCAGATTAGTAAATATATTAGCTTAGAGACAAGTTTATGATCTAGTCAATTACATTATTCCATAGAATTATATCCAATAGACTGGCCTGCAAACTACAGTCAATCGACTAGTCAATAAACTAGACAATAGATTAGTACATACATAGTACATAGACTAGTCAATAGACTTGCCCATAGAATAGTCAATACTCTAGACTTTAGACTAGTCAATAGTCTATTTGTTAGTCAAGAATCTAGATTAGTAAAAATATTACACTATAGACTAGTTTATGGTCTAGACAATAGACTAGATAATGGTCTAGTCAATAGACTAGTTAAGGTGTCAATTGCATTATTCCATAGAATAGTCAACATTATATTCAATCGAGTAGTCAATAAACTAGACAATATATTAGTCCTAAGAGTTGTCCATATACAAGACTATTAAATCTATTCAATGGACTAATCAGTCATCTGGTTAGTTTATTTGCCAATAGACTAGTCCTTCGACTAGTCAATAGACTAGACCTTCGACTAGTCAATAGACTAGACCATCGACTAGTCAATATATCAGTCCATAGACTTGTTAAAAAATTAGTCCCTAAATAGCTCATAGAATAACCGATACCCTAGTTCTTAGACTAGTCTAGTTAATAGACTTGTCAATAGATTAGTTTTTAGACTAGTCTAGACAATAGCCTATTACATATAGTGATCCATGATACTATCCTATAGACTAACCAAATTTAAGAAAAGTAATTTAGAATGTTTACTCCTAAAATGTGCTCATTTTAGAAATTATTTAAAAATTTCAATTTTCCATTTCGGGTATAATAATTACCGCTCTCCTTAAGATTTATGGCACATTTTCTACCAAATTAAGTACTTTCTCACTATTTGTTATTATACTTTTTATTAAAAATAAAATCTCTTTTTGTCATGACTCATGACTAACCATGTTTGACAAATGACTGCTATGATGAAGACTGCCAACTGTCTATATGACTTTCATTGTGTGGAAAGTTTGGTGTTGTTAGATGTTAGATAAGACTTCATGCCAAAATCATCTTTTGTATTTGTCTCTCAAATTAATCAAAACCCATGACTCTTTGTTTTGTGATCTTTAAAAAAATATGTATACATCTTCTTTTCTTTTTGCTACAATTACAAATTTAACAAAAAATTAAATACATTTTCTTAAACTTTGTCGATGTTGTAACTTATATTTTGACCTCAGGCTAATTTTAATTTAAATAACAATTTAATGCTCACAAATTAAATAATTATGTAGAAAAATATTCAAAAAAGCCCTAAGGCAGTAGTAAGTATTTATTTTGTCAGTTTGTTTATCGAGTGGAATTCGATACAAACATAGTAATTCAGGTCAGGGATGATAAATGAGACTTTAAACATTGCTTTTAAAGAAATACAAAAAAGTTTTGTTTTTACTTTAATCTTATTAAAATGTCTTTAAATTTAAATTGTGTTAAAACCGGATCGTAATTGAACCTGATCAGGAAATACTGCCAAAATTTACAAATCTCTTAAATTTCATGTGTTTCTCTAGGTTAAATAACTACGTTACAAAGAGGGGATGTAAAAAAGGCGTGGCATTTATCAAGATTTGATAAAGAATTTTTCGGAGATATTAGTTGAATTTAATATAATTTGTTTTATTACTTTTTTCTTATGTTGCGTAGAAATTTATCATCATAATAGTTTATGTGGGCGTAAAATGGACCGTAGTATCCAATCAAGATTTGATAGTTCCTTTTGTAAATCTGTTGTAATAGGTTTTTATTGTTTTGCATATAACGCACATAATAACTGGCCAGAAATTAAATCGCTGGTCCACATGATGCAATTCCCATTTAGAAGGAAGTGATTGAAAAGTTTTGCCTTACCCACCTTATAGTTTAGACCTTTCCACGTCTTTCTGAGATATGATTAATTTCAGAACAGGGTATCAGAAATTGGCAGGAAAGATAAAACATATAGGGACGTTACATTTAACCAATATAAAGAGTTTGAAGTAGTTTTTTTTCGTTTAAATGAAAATAATTGACCGAAAAAACATAGGTATCTAATCGGGAACGAGACGATTATAAGGAAAAGTTTAAAAACTGCAAATTTAGCACTTAAAAGTTGAAATTTGTAAAATTAGCCAAAGAGAAAGGAATCATAACAATCCCCGAAGTTCGGAGCGAGATCCTCGCACTACCACTTAGAGTTGTCCTTAGTCATTGTCTACCCAGTTGACGGAAGTCAATCGTTACTTCATAGATTACAATGAGGTAGCCAGAGACAACTAGTTCAAAGTAGTCAATGCATAACAATTATCTTTGTGCTTAAGTTTGATTTTTGGGTCTCCATTCTCCATATTACTTAGCGATTATAAAGTGATGACTATCACCGAACTGCTGCGATGTTTTTAGTCCCATTACTATCAAATTGATTAAAAAAGTTCTGAAAACATTTGGCGAAATAATGCATTATAGTATAATGATTACACAGATTTTCTAAGTTTTCGTATCAAAACCAAATATCGATTTGAAATTCTAGTGAAATATACATATAAGTTTTGTTTTGAATGTTATAATTCAGACTCGATCGCGGAAATAGTTTTTTCATATAAAGGTGCTAATTTTTAATTTTAACGCTTAAAGATAGAAGAAACTGTTTGGTGGGGTGAATTGGTTAGTCTTTCAATTAGTCATTAACGTAATATATAGTAAAAGTTTGTTTTTTATAAAGTAAAATGTCTCCTTATAATTTAAATTATTTGTTAACAATTTCCAGCTATTTTTTTTTTTTTTTGCCAATTTGATAGTTTGCGGACTATAGAAAATTGCAAAATAGCTGGTATTTGTGTTAATAACTTTTTCTTTAAGAGTTTTGTTGGTAATAAAAGTTATTACTAACTATTATTGCTGCGATTATTAACATTTGTTTGAAAAAGTAATAATTTTCATTACAAATATTTATTTAAAAATGCAATATTAAACAAATATTTCTATGAACAATTACTGCAGTGCAGCAAAAAATATATATAAAAAAACAACTTCAGACAAAGTAGTTTTTACTGCTTAACAAATAAATGAAAAAAAAAACTAAATAAAAAACTAAGATGGGGTTTAATTTGAAGCTCACACCTATTTTATATTAAATACATAAATATTTGTTTGTAGCTGTGCTTTAAAGTGGTGTAGGTCCAATAAGCGAACGAGCGAATGAACGAACGAATACTCATACCCATACAATGTGAAAGAAGTGAAAAAATAACGAAACTTTCACTATTACTTGAAATTGAATTTCAAAATATGGTAATGGCCAATTGTTTATACAAACTCATACTTGTACTTCAAAACAAAAAAAAAAAAAATATTATTATTTTTTATTACTAATATTTTGGTAAAAAAAAAAGAAAATTTTCGCACTAACAAATTAAGTTAAGAAATCTTTTACAAAACAACACTTGTATGCTAAACCCCTACAAACATAAACAAGTTAATAATATTTTTTTATAATTGCTGACTTGTTTTATTCTTTTATAATTTAATGTTTTCACATTAAAAAAAAGAAACGAAATTTTTCTTTTTTTATTCAGTTTTTGCAAGTGCAGAAAATTTGCCAGTGATGAGTAATAAAAATTGTTGATTTTTTGTGTTTTTTTTTATATAACTGATCCATAAATTTGTGATAAACATGTTGAAATATTCGAATATTCATTCATTCACTGGCTCATGCTCACATGCAAGTTTGGTTTTTTTTTTTTTGAGTTTTAAGGCCCGAGTTGGCTGGTCATGGAACAAACTTGCCAATAAAAGTGACCGTTTTTTTATTATTTGGCTTTTTTAAAATATAAACAAAAACTGTTTTTTTTTTTGTTTCTAGAAAAAGTGGTTTGTATTTATAAAAAATATATAAGTAAATATAAAAAAAATATATTTAGTCGAAGTTTGTAATAAAACCAACTGAATGATGTTGGTGATGTAGAGTTTGTTAGTATTTAATATTGCTGCTGCTCATGATCAACATCATCGTCATCATCATGATGATCATGATAAGTTGGTTGTTGTTTTTGTTTATGATTATGAAGATAATGTCGCTTTCACTTTAGCAAAAATCCATGAGCAATCGCAGAGCAACTGCAAACAGCAGCTCTATAGCAACAAACCCCAAAAAACTACAATTGTACAATATTGTTGTTGTCTTACAGTGAAACCGGAAAGAGAAGACAACATTAACAAATACAGAGGATATAATGTTGTTGACTTTATACAAAAAGAAAAAAAAAGTTGTCGAAAAAGTTTTTTTTTTTTTGTGAAACAAGTGTCTCACGAAAGTTAATAAGTATAATATTGTTTTAATACATAGTAATATTTTTTAATTGTAACGTTAATTAATATTTTATTAATGAGCTGAAGATGTAGTTATTATTTTAATTTAATTAATAATATATGATAATTAAACTTAAAAAAATAAATACTACTATGGTTCAGCCTATTGATCAATTAATTATCTAAATATTATCTAATTATCTAAACTATGGACTAATCTATTTACCAGCCTTGGCTAGTGCCTAGTGTATGGATTAGTCTATTGGCTAATACACTAACTAATCCTCTGCATAGCCTATGTACTAGTTTACTGACTTATCTAATAACTAGTCTGCAGTCAAGTCTTTGGTCTAGTTTATGCACTAGTGTGAAGGCTATAGTTTAATAACTCTTCTATGGACTACTGTACTTATGACTAACTAACTAACTAACTAACTAACTAACTAACTAACTAACTAACTAACTAACTAACTAACTAACTAACTAACTAACTAACTAACTAACTAACTAACTAACTAACTAACTAACTAACTAACTAACTAACTAACTAACTAACTAACTAACTAACTAACTAACTAACTAACTAACTAACTAACTAACTAACTAACTAACTAACTAACTAACTAACTAACTAACTAACTAACTAACTAACTAACTAACTAACTAACTAACTAACTAACTAACTAACTAACTAACTAACTAACTAACTAACTAACTAACTAACTAACTAACTAACTAACTAACTAACTAACTAACTAACTAACTAACTAACTAAGTTATCTGACTATTGACTTGTCTACTGATCTATTGGCTGGTATATTAATTAGTCCATAGAATAGGTTAGGAATTTATCTACTGACTGGGCTATTAACTATGTCTATGATCTATTTAGCGTGAGGGTATTACTTTAAACGGGATTAAAATGTGTTCTCAAAACGAAAATTCCTTTTTCCTAATCAACAACTCTTTGAATAAAAACAAAAAGTAAAAGGAATAACAAAATTTCATATAATTAACAAAAAATGTTTGAAAAGAAATAGCAATAGTCTCATAAACAAGTGAAACTAAATAAAATTTAATATTAAGAACTCATGCAACCTTAACAACCTCAATAATTTTAAACACAAAACCAGAACAATGAACCCAAAGAACAGTTTTAATTTAGACCAAAAGAAAACTTTCCCACCATTAACACATGCATACATATCTATATATGTATATAATTTATGCCCTGTTTGAGATTTATATAATTTATTTTATTATATTAAGAAAACGAACCACTGTGCAATTTGACTTAATGAAAACCAGACAGATGTTGTAAAACATTTTTTAAGACAAATTAAAAACTTGTAAACTTTACATTTCCGTTTTTTGAAATATATACCAAAATATGTATACATTACTTATTTATATAGTTTAGTTACATATTTATGTTTGTAAGTAAGTGTGTGTTATATTTTATTTAATTAAAAGCTTTTCTTTTTTTTTTTTTGTAATAATGTTTCAACTTTATATTTGTGGTTTAATGTTTAATGGGAGTTTTTCTTTTGTTTTTTTTTTTTGGCAATTTTTTTTTGTTTGTTTGCTAGACATGCATTAAAAAGTTATTTTTAAAAAAAGTTTTTGGTTTTAATATTATTTACACTTTTGGTAGAATTAATAAAACACGAAAGAGTGTTGTTGGTTTTTATTTCATTTATTTTAGGTGTTTGAAGTTAAGAGTAAATGTCTGGGTGAAATTTTATTATATTATGTTTTTTTTTTTATTTTTTATTATTTAAGAAAAAGTAGTTTTTTAGGTTTTCTCCTAATAAAAAACAAAGGTTTAGGAAAAAGTTTTTTATTTGTAAAAAAAGTCTTGATAAACTTTAAGATTTTAAGTTTAGTTTGTTAAAAGTTATTGTTAATAGTTATTTTTCTTTTTTTATTGTTTTTTTTTTGTATTGCGTAGTGAAATCATGATGAGTGATGGCGAATGACCTCGTTTTTTTGCAAACATTTTAGTGCAAATAAATAAATAGGGAAATTTTTACCGAAAGTAAAAGAAATTAAAAAATACTGTATTTAAAAAGGTCAACTTTTATAACAAATTTTTATTAAATTTAGTATTAATTTTTCAAGTTACATAATATTTTTTTTTTGCTTTACATTTTTAAAACTCACTTTTTTATTGTTTATTTATAAAATTCTTTTAGTTTTTTGTTTGTTATAATTTTTTATTATTTAAACAATGAGTTTTAATTTTTGAAATAAATTTTTCTTCTTTTCAATTAAATAAAAGATTTAAGACACAAACTTGTTTAAACAGTTAACAAAATTTCAACACTCCCGCAACGAAACGAAAGACTTAAGACCCAAACTTTTATTTTAAAGCCAAGAAAATTCGAATGAACATGTTACTCGCACGACGTTGTACGTTAAACTAATAAACAAACCTTAAAAATTTTTATAATTTTGAAACTCTGTTTTTTACAATAATATTTTTTCTGCTTATTTTTTTCTTTTTTGCTAACTCACACGACTTAACAAACAAACAAGCAGCCAACACCACCAACAATCCAACCAACTAAGTGCTGAGTATGAGTATGAAGTGCTGGTATGCGACAACAAGTGTTTGAAGTAAAGTTTTTGAAAAAGTCTATTGAATGTATAAATATAAAAACAAAAATGGCATTTCATAGTTTATTAAAAAATATAAAAAATAATACTCTAGTCTGCCGCCATTTGGTTTAAGTCTATAGACATTTTTTTTCAGTTTTGTTTTTATTTGTTTTGTTTTTGAAATATTATTCATAGATAAAGGATGACCTTCTGCCTGCCATAGTAAAACATCTAAATAAACTTCAATAGTTGGGTAAAAACGTTTTTTTTTCTGTTATTATGACTGATAGGTAATTCCATTTGATTTGATATTTTTCGCTTAATAAGTTTTTTTTTTAGAGTTGTTGTTATTTTTCATATTCTTTTGTTTGTTATTGTTATAATTTCAGTTAATGTTTCATTAATTCTGATTAACTGAAATTAATATCATTACAAACAGAAAACTAATGACTGTTACGACATTATATCAATTTAATGTCACACCTTCATCATTATTCATGCTATAGTAGATTCATTGTTCACATTTTTTTTTTTTGTTTAAAATCAATTTGCATTCCTAAAACTTGTTCGTAAGACTTAACAATCAATTCAAGACGAATTTTGTATGCGTTATTTGGTAATAACTTTAGTTTCAGATATCTTTAAAAGGGGACAAAAAAAGAACAGAGATTAAAAGATTATTTTGAAGCCAATAGTTAAGACTCCCAGATGGCATAACAAATTTTATAACGTCTCAAACATGGCAAAAGATTAGGATTTAGCACAGCTCAATTCTTCAAATTCAAACTTTTGTTTCATTTAAGGCCAATTTTATATATTTTTCAATTTTAAAAATAATTTCAAAACTTTCATAAATGTCAAAATTGTCTTCTAATCTTGAAGATTTCTAAAAAAATATAATTTTTGTTTTAAATTTTGAAAATAGTTTTTAGATTTTCTTATATAATTTTGACTAAAAATGTTTTTTTTTTGAATATTTTGAATATTTAAATACTCTAATAAGAATTTAAGCTTTTTGAGGTTTCAATTTCGAATTATCTCATGCCAAATTTAAGATCGCAACTAACAAATGGAAATGTTACTTATACCCATCCCATAAATAGCAAAGGGTATTCAGTTTGTTATAAAAAACTGCTATTGGTATTTTGAATTTTTTTTTTTGGTAATTCGTGCAGCCATACATATACATATGTACATACATATGTAAATGCTGCAATACATACCGTTAAAATTGATCGATTATACATTAAACCAGTTAATATTTATTAGACTTATATGCGGAACTTAATAAAATGAAATACCTAAAAGGGATTTCCCCATCAAACTAAGCAGATGTCTTCGTTATAAAATTACTGGCTTCATTTCGATATTAGGCTCTTGATAAACAGAAGAGTAAATAAAAAAATCACATATTCTTGTTGAAATTTTATCAGTTTTGTTTAAATCTCAATGTTATTTAAGAATAAACTAACTGACTAATGTTTTAATTTCGAATAAATAGTAGTTTTGATCGTTTTTTTTTTTTTTTTTTTTTTGTAAGGCCATTAGCCTTTTCTTTGAGTAATAAATTTTAAAAAGATTGAAGAGACTTTTATTTAATTTCAGATTATAACATGATAACAATAATATGGTTTATTATAATACCAGCCAATGCAAACGTTTTATATCTAAGTGATAATGTTTTAAAATTAATCTTAAAACTCTATCCTATCTGACCATTTATTTACATTATTGGGATATGTAAGACTAATCAACTATTGACCGATAGATGATCATTTGTAAGAAAAAGCTAACAAGTCCTTAATCTGCTTAAACCATGTTCTGTAAATTAAATAGAAAGTAATAATTTCGAATGAAAATAACAATTAGCAAAAACGTAGCTACGATCGTAAACCATTGAAATGCAGTGGAACTGCTTCTTCTATTCTTACGTTTCCTTTTTTTGTTGGAATACCTTTTTTCAATCGTTGCATCACTGAATGATGAAACGTAATCGAAATGCAAAATAGGGGTGACAAATGGACAAGAGCATGTCTTTTAGAATGATCAAAGAACACATGCAAAATATCTGGGGACTTCCGAACATTTATTTCAACAAACAGTTGACTATGAAGAATAGAAAAAATCTAAAAATGTTTAATCATTAATAAAAATAGCGTGGCCTAGGTGTCTCCTATCAACCTAACCTAATTTAGTGCAATTTCAATGAAACTTTACGTAAAGAAGAAGTGTTGCCATGATTAACTTTTGAACCTCATTGGCCCATACTGGGCGCAGCCAGAGGTATCCTAAGGATGTCTCCTGGGAAATATCAAATTTGTAAAACTGTCCTATTTTGTCGTTTGTGGTATCAAATATCAAAAATGTGCTGTGTATAAATTATGCTCGTCGAATATAATAATTCCGTCAGACATGCTCTCGAGAAGTTTTAGCACAATTCGTCCATAAATATTGGAAATATAAGCAAAAATCCGAGACAACCTCTGAAAATGTTGCATGCTTGGACAAAAAAGCAACAACAACATTGCTCATTGGGAAAAAAACTTATGTTTGGTTGTGTGTTGGTTTTAGTGTTTTGCATATTTTTTTTTGTTGTTTTTCGTTTTGTTATTGCTAGAGTAATGGTACTACAGTCGGGAAAATTAAATAAATTAAAATTTTATAAAATTAATACATTTTTAAACAAACTATGATGAAGGGTATATAAGATTCGTCAAAGGCGAATATGGATCCTATTTGTTTATTAAAGAACCTATAACAGAAAATAGTGGCAGATGGATTTTTCTGATCTCCGTCATACAAGTTTAAAAATCGCTGAAAAAAGAACTAGTTCCAGAACTATTCTAATGAACGTGTACATATGTGTCCCTAAAGCATCCTTAGTTTTGATGGTGACAAATTAGAACAAACATTGTTGATTAAAAACTGGTTGTATAGACTCCATATGCTACCACTAGTTCCAATTGTGACAATTACAAACAAAAATAATGGGTCCCAATGTCATACAACATACAAATAGTTAAATATTTAAAAAAAAAAATTATTTCTTAAGTAAATAACTAAAAAAATCATAACTATATTAGAATTTAGTTTAATCAGTACTTACCTCAATTTTCGTCAATATATAAAGACGCCACAACCATTTCTGCTTCAGCTACAATTTCCTTCATCCTTGTTTATCAATTTCTGCCCAATAATTAAAACATCATGGAACAGAATTAATTGGTTTTTTCTTGGAATCATTAAAGTTTTTGTTGTTGTTTGTTTATATTTGCATTTGTTGTTTTGTTTTACATTCACGATTTTACATTCTATGCCTTTATAATATTTGTTTGTTTTTGTTTTTTTTTTTTTTTGTTTTGTAGTTTATAATGTGTCTTCTTAATCTCAAAGTAATATAATAATCATGAATTAAGTTTTTTTTTGTCTTTTTGTTTTTCTCTTAATTTTTGTTTAATTGTATAAGTTGTTGTTTTTTGTTTGTATATTTTTTAAATATGACAATTTTTGTTGTTTTTTTTTTTTTTTTTGTTGTTGGTATCACCTTAATGGATAAAATGTCTTTAGTACAATATTATCATTATTTATCGTTATTAATTTAAGTATTAACAAAATAAGTTACAATTTATCATCTAAATAAATAAAATCTGTTTTAAATTTAATAATAATATAATAATAATAATTAAAAAAATACAATACATAAAATAAAATAATAATTAAACACGCTCACACACTCTATTATAATCAATTATTATGTACAACTATCAGGGTGCTGGCTTTGTTTACGTTTGGATTTTGGCTCTTTAGAGTGCTCTATTGAAGGACGTCTTGGATTACCAAGTGTTACTAAGGCGCTGGCTACAGCTAATCCGGCGGACTGACCAGCTGGTGCATGCTGAAGACCACCTAAAGTAAATGTAAATATGTTCTGTTGTATTTAACGAAATGCATTTTATGTTTGAACACTTTACCTGTGGGTAAACGGACTAGAAGAGACAAAACGGCTGCACGATTGCCGCTGCAGGGTTCTAATGCTATCGGGCTCGGACATTCCTGCAATACAAAATCTCTGAAATTGCTCCAATATTTTTCTTTAAGAAGTCTTACCTTTTTACGTTTCTTGCTCATATTTGCAATTCCCTCCATGGTTAAAGATAAATCAATATTTTCTCGATTTTCTATGTCCACTAGCACCTATAAAACAAAAAATAATTATAAAATAACATGTACACTCCACCCAAACTCAAATACGTACCTGTGAAAATGGACGACTGGCCATTTGTTCCATTTCAACAAACAAACGTTGTCTTCTCCTGAACATGTCATACTTTTGCTTAATTTTCCACAGTATGGCGGCCATCAGCAATAGCAGCAAAAAGCAAGTTGAAAATGTTATAAAGAACTGTTGCAAATTGAGTTTGGGATATTGCGAGAATGCAATCTGAATCCAAATGGGAGGCTGGAAGTCATGCACAAACACATAGAACGTTGTCAACGAACTATTGTCTTCTGGTGAATGACCAAATTGGTACTCGGTCTTGGGGAAGCGATGACGAAATGTTGAACAATTAATATTGGTAAATAGAACTTTACTTTGTGAGCCGCCCAATTTGACCATAATATCCATTTTTGCCGGCACACTGCAGGTTATTGTGAAATCAGCATCGATTTCAGGCTTCACGGGTGAATTGCGGAAATTGATTTGACGAAAGTGACGATCTTCTTTCTTTGATAGATTAAAAGTGAACTGATAATCAATTGTGAGTTCATAGTAACAGGTTGAGGAAATGGGATCGCCATGATAATGATTCTGTGAATCACATTTTTCGCAATGATCTCCCACAATACCTTTGGTATTGCAATAACATTTACCCGTGTCCGGATGACAGATATCTCCCTGTTTGTTACAGTCACATTTCTGACATTGACCACCATTAATGGGATTTCCCCAATAACCAGGACCACACTTTTCGCAATGAGTACCAAAGGTCAGATTCGAACAAGGTTGTTCGCAGTGCACCGAATCCAAACATTTGGAGTGACCATTACAGTTACATCTGGGACAAGAGGTGAAATACCATTGGCTGGAGGGACATTCCGCCGAATTGTGCGGCTTTAGAGCTCCTCCTTCTATACACTTGCCCAGACCAGTATTTGTGCCATCATCACACCAGCCACAAGCAGGATCATCAAGACACTGTGAACAACTGTTGTAGTAACCACACTGGGCTGTGGACAACGCCGATGAATTGCCCCACAAACCAGCTGGAGAGGTACGACATTTTGAGGTGTGTGTTGTCCATTCCCGACATTGTCCGTACGGAAAACTAGCCGTATACGAATTGCGATCAACGCAACGTAATTCATTCTGACACCAAATACAATCATTCTCCGTACAATTGTGACAATTACTGAGAGAAGCACAAGAAGGTGGACAAATGATTTCATCAACTGTTCGATTACCGTTTATAGCAGTATATGGACGACAACGATTATGTTCTGGTTCCCAAATACAGGCAGTGTTTGCCGAACAAGCATGACAAGTATGCAGTTGTTCACATAAGGCTGTAGTACGAAAATCTTCTTTGGTTGGGCAATTTTCCAATTGTTTTATATTCAAAGGTGGTGCATTTGTCGCTATAACAAACTGGGCTTTGGAATGTTGACTCTGTTGTTGTGTAGATGTTTCATAGAATACCGAAGTCAAAGGAGAAGTTTCAC